ATATAAAATTATATCTCTTGGATAATATCCTACAAAAGTAATTTACACTAGAAAAGAAAAGGGAATAAATTATAAAGTTCTGAATAATTATCAAGTAGAAACAACATTAAGTGGACTAACAGTTTTATGTAAAACACAGTATCAATTTTCGCGTAAAATTGCAATTAAATATATTATTAAATGGACAGATGAAAATGATCAAATAAAGTCAAGATATAGTTTGTCATCAGCTGGGGCAGCAGGTTCTTTATTTTTAAAAGTAAGTTTATAAATTAAATTGTATACAATATTTATTATAATTAATAATATTTATTATAGGAAATATGTAATAAGCCCAATTCACGAGTTGCTGGTACAATACTTTTTGGTCTAGATATAATTTTTTTACAACAAATGCGCGAAAATATTGCACAACAATCTATAATATCAGTTAATCGCAAATGATGTTTTACTGAACTTACATCAAAATCACAAAAAAATAAACGTATTACTATGGTTGGAAAGGAAATTGTAGCACAAACTTTAACAATTCTCAAAAATAATAAATTTACCACACCATCTGAAGAAATTATAGTAACAATTGAAGCTATAGTTCTTAAAATTAATGGGGAAATTGTAGAATTACATTTTTATTCTAATAATATAACTGATTTTACACAACATTTAGATTCAATCATCCGTGTCTATGATGAAATATTAATTTCTCATGATAGTTATCGCAGACTAGCCAAAGCAGTTCCAAATTTAATAAGAGAATATATAATTGAAAAACGTCGAAATGAAATTACAAATATAATGAATGCTCTTATTCCAATCAAATTATTTAACATTTATAATGTTAATTTTGATGATAATGATGAGAATCAACAAAATATGAGTAGTGAAATAGAACTTAATGATGGTGATGTAGGTAGTGGTGCATATCGGTCTATTACATCTATATTAGATATTATAATTTCTATTTTAACAACTTCAACACCTCCTGTTTTAAAAGTTAGTGATAAAATTAATATAAAATTAAGTGGAGACGGAAGAAATGTAGGAAGAAAGCAAAGCATGTGATGCTTACTATGTGTATTCTTAATAAAGAAGAAGCTGTTTTGAATCCTACTCATCAATATAGGTATCATATGGGCGTGCGTCAGTTAAAAAGGGGGAAATCCATAATTTCATTATTTTGAGATAAATGAAAAAAACATAATAAATCACAACGTTGAGAAGTGTAGATCGCTCGTGTAAATTGATTTAAATAGGAATGATCTATAATGGATGAGTCGAAAGCCACCCATTGAATTATTTTACAGTATAAATGTATAATACAGTAATTAAATAGTAAAAAAGCAATTTTTTTTTTATTCTCCTCAAAAACTTACAACAGTGTAAAACTTTTACAATTCGAATTTTTGAAACTCTTTTAAAGCATAATTAACGTTCTTTCTATTTTCTTTTTTAGAAATAAACTTGAGACTTAAAAATGGATCCTGAAGTAATTGAAATTCGTTCATTTTGAATTTTTTTATTAGCTGGGAATTTTTTATTTCGGGAAGCGTAATTAATGTTCCTTTCTCTTTTTTTTATACAAACAGAATTAACAAAGTCAATCGAACAGTCCCTGAGCGAACTAGGTAAGTTCGTTCTTTGTTTTTTCCATTATTTTTTTTATTTCAGGAAACGTAATTAACGTTCCTTTCTCTTTTTTTTTTAGAAATGAAACCTAAATGAATGGACAAAGCCGAACGAATGATCCCTGAATGAACAAGGTAAAGGTAAGTTCATTTTTTGTTATTTTTTATTTTGGAGAACATTACTAATGTTCTTATTTATTTATTTTGTGGGAGCTGCCTTTGGACTTTGAAATGGACAAACCTAAATATGGTAAGAGATTTTTGAAGGGGTTTTTTTATTTTCTGTTCTTTTTTCTTTATTTTGTAGGGGAAGGTATCTTGGACTTCAAAATGGTATTAAGCAAAATATTCTTTGATTACATTATCTTGGGAACGTTTCTAACATTCCTCCATTTTTATTTTAAGAGATTTGGATTTCAGATCAGATACGAATCAGATCAGTTTGATTCAAATCAAATTTGGATCAGATCGAATCAGTTTAAAATGGATTTCAGACCTGATTCAAATCAAACTTTATAAATCTGATTCAGTTTCAGTCAAATCAGTTAATGAACAAAAAAAATTAGATAAGAACGCTAGACAAACTCTTAGAATGCTTTTTGAGGGAGGGTAAGGTTTACCTTATAGCTTTTATGAATTAGAAATTAAGAACGTAATTTTAACATTTTTCTTTTTTTTTCTTTTTTTTTCTAGAAATGGACTAAATAATATTCGTTAGATTTTTTGAGAATCTTTTTAATATTTAACGAAAACGTGATTCTATGAACCAAAGATCTAAAAGAAAAAAAATTAGTATAACACAAAAAATAAAAAAGAAATAAAAAAACTAATCTTTTATAGTTTATACAATTAAACTAAACCTAGAAGAAAAAAAATTAGTAATAAACGAAATGAACAAAAATGAATAATTAAAAACTTTCTGATCTGTACAATATAAATGAAAAAATGAACTCTGATCTGATGACTAAACTGACATGTGTAATTTTTTGAGGAGATTTTATGCTTATAATAAGCTGTTTCAGTAAATCAGTTGCTTTGTAACTGAATTATTTTATTTTTTTTTTTTACATTTGTACTTTATTATAATAAAATATTTAATATTCAATAAAAATACTAATGCTAAGATAATAATTTAATTTTCATTTTTGGTTGAGTTTTTGGCTTTGCAATAGAAGGCAATGGATAATACAAATCTTACTTAAATAGATCTTAAATATGTTATCGCACTTCCTCATAAAGATACCATTGCCGTTCTGGTGTTATCCCTTTTGCTATCACTTCCTTTGAAAATGATAAGTAATTTACACCATGTCCTTTCTTTTCTAAATTTATTAATTGAGATCCTTCATTTACTGCAGTCTTAATTTCTATAAAACCTATTCTGTCCCGATTTAGCACAAAGTAATGTTGCTTTTTAATTTGTGGAACTAGATTAAAATAATTAACTAAGAATTCAGTCTAATCATAAAAAAAACTTCTTGTTGCCCATTGCTATTGAAAATGGTTTGTGCTATATTATATCCGCCAACAGTTGATTCTTTAACTGCTTTAACCAAGTACTCCATATCATCAACTTCTGAATGTCGCAACTTTAATTTAAATAATCCAAAAAATCCATCAAGTGTGAACTTAGTATGGCTAGCTACCATAAATGAATATGTAATTTTTTCATGTAAATTATTAGCAATATACCATGCCAGATACATAATTATCACGTTATTTTTGTTTTGCCCTATGTAATTATCTGCGTGAATTATCACCTTTTTTTTACCCAAACCATATTTTTCAAAATAATGATGAACTAGTGAGATTGTTGTATCTGCGTCCTTTCCAACATTTTCTTTTTCCAGAATCAAGTAATTGACTTAATATAAAAACAATTAATATAATAATTAAAAAATTATACTAAAAACAACAAATTACTTACTTGTCTTGGTGTACCATCTTCACAAATACTGAAAATTTGTACTTTATAAAGACTCTTAAAATATATCACTCCCTATTTAAAAATAACAAAATTAAACTTTGTAAAAATTAAACTATAAAAGTTATATTAATTTTACCTTTTGCTATGAAGAATATGGAATCTGAACAGCCTATGCAAAATCCCAGGATATATGATTATCATAATCTTGAGAATTAGGTACACCTGGACGTGAAGCATTTTGATATTCTTGCAGTGCTAATTTAGAATTTGCTACACAGTTCCTACAAAAAATAAAAATTTAGCAATTTAAATAAATACAATAATAAAAATTCTAAAAAAATTACCTAAAATTTCTCTTTCTAGCTAGGCCTAAAGAATGTGCCTATTCCACTCTTCTATTTTTTGTTCTACTTCTGATGCTGATCACATCTGTAAATTAAATTACATAGTTTTGCACTTGTGACATAAATCGCTATGCAGAGACAAAAACTTTATACCTGGTAAATATTTTTGTCACATTCAACAATATGTTCGAACACTTACAATTAAAGATTTATTATAACTAGTATCATATTCTATTGTGTTATTATATAAGCGCCAAAGTGATGCATAATTTTCACTTGCTAGTAAATATGTAACTGCTGTAGTTTCTTCTCAAAAATGGCAGCCTGTTTAAGAAATAATTATTGTTAATTAAAAGGAATTGATAAAAAAGCATATGCATAAAAAATTTAATAAAAAAATACCTGGTGATGGAAGTCTGTATACACTTGCATAATTGGTTACAAATGTTAAAATTTGTAAAACAGTTTCAAAGAGTATGGCATTGTTACTTTTTCGACCAGTTAAGCCATGTTTGATTGGAGAAATATCATGATCGATATAATGTTTACGTACATCCTCCCATTTTCTTTTTCCAATACTATAAATTATTAAAAAAGAAATCATGCATATTTTAAGGCCTTCGAAATAGTAATTACTAGTTAAACCTTTTTTTTCTTTTGTGCTTACTCGAACATTAGCATTAAGCATTCCTAATAAAAACATATTTTGCTGACTTTTATTTAACTTTTGAAATAATTGATATTTTTTTATAGCTATCTCATGATTAAACACATTATCAATTAAGCAATTCTTTGAGTAATATGGAGAAGTCTTAAGTTTTTTTTTCAAGTGCTTTAATATCTTATTCTATCAATTTTTTATTAAATTGCAAATCTTCAGGTATTTCACTTTCTCTATCATGATGCAATGGTGGGTCTTTTTTCCAAATTTTATGAAATTTTTTAATTTGAGTTTTAGTGAAAATCGATTGAGCTGCATTATCATCTTTAGGTATTATTATTAATATACTCTTTTCATCATCTTCATCAGCATTAGTATTATTATCATCATAAACAATATCAAACTTATACTCTTCTTGTAGTTGTTATAAGGTAGTATTTAATTCATGGATCATTTAGATTTGATAAAATAATTGCTTCATTATCTTCAACTGGTTCTTCATTTGATTCACTTAATGATTCTTGAACTAATTCTATAATATTATTTTTCGATATATTTGGTTGATAATATCGTAATTCATCTTTAATATTTGTAATATAATATCTATTGCTAATATCAAACCTAGTA